TAAAATAAAAATGGTTTCAGCTATTAATACAGTATGATAAGAACTCACATAGTTACTCTTGGAAAAGGTATTCCACAGGAATAAAATGTTTGAGGAAACTGATGTTTGACCTCTTTCAATACCAAAGCTTTACAGGAATTTTAAATACAAGTTTTTCAAATATGTCCTATATTTGCATATGTTATTAATTAGATAAGTATCAGAAGATAGTGTAATATCCTCTAAGCAGGACCGTCTGGCCTGCACCAAATGGTCTTTGACAGTGTATATTCCTCATGGTTTCTGCCTTCTTCCTTCCAAGCAATTTGGAATGCCACAATTTGTCTGGGGTGAAGCTCACGGCCATGTCGGGGAAGGTCACTGTGTCCTGAACCGGGGGAAGGTCACTGTGTCCCGAACCGACATACACATTGGACAGGAGTGAGGTGATCCCACCCAGTGACATAGATGAGCTCAGGGCCTCTCCCCTGCCCCACTCCAGTCAGGAGGAACCAGCCTGTAGGATAATACTGTTTTGTCCTTCCAGCACAGTCTCAGGTAGTTTAGGTTTATTGGGTTGCTCCCGTCACAGTGCTCCCATTCCTCTGTGTTTATTTGTAACGTCTTTGTGCTCTGTTGACTTGTAACTATTGTTTTTCTCTTCTCCCGAAGTCCTTTGCATAGTTTATTCAGAGCAATGTCCTTTGTGTATGGACACAAGAAGACAGTATGCTTTTGTTATATGACACTCAGTGATATTTTCCTCCTGGGCATCGTCTGTTCTCTCACTTAAGCCTCAGCTGCCTTGACTTCCTAGCGCCCCCAAAAGCAAGGTCCCAACGAGGGACCGGATGGAACCAGGGCAAGCGGTAAGCTATGTGCTACCCTGGCATGAGATGGGCCTGGTCAAAGCGCCATCATGCTTAGCTGTAAGTGAAGAGCTTGGGCATGGACAAATGCCGTCACGATCCAAAAAGTAATAACTAGATTCGGACCCTGCCAGGGTTAGGAATAATTAATCTGGCTTGAGTGCTGTAGTCTGAGTCTATGACAAGATGTTCCCTGGAGAGCTGCCCTACAAGCCTCAATGGTATCTCTGTGTTCGTACAAAAATAACTAGTATCGACACGCTGATAGAGTTATTGGACTGCAGAAAGGAGAAAAACAAGTTAGGAGGTATTTTGCCCTTGGGCAGTCAGGAAGGCTTTGGAATACCTCTTAGGTGGTGCTCCCTCAGGAAGGGCTTTCTTTTTTTTTTTATTTTGTTTTGTTTTGTTTTTTGGGGGTCACACCCCCGCAATGCTCAGGGCTTACTCTCAACTTTGCACTCAGGGATCACTTCTGGAGGTGCTGGGGGGGTGGGGAGAATCATATGGGATGCTGGGAATTGTACCACGTTGGTGGCAAACGCCCTCCCTGCTGTGCTATTGCTCTAGCCCCAGGAAGGGCTTTCTTTTTTTTGTTTTTCGGTCACACCCGGTGATGCTCAGGGGACTATGGTCATATGGGATGCTGGGAATCGAACCTGTGTTGCCCATGTTGGCTGTGTGCAAGGCAAACGCCCTACCTGCTGTGCTATCGCTCCAGCCCCTGGAAGGGCTTTCTTAATGTTGATTTGGCTACCAGAGAGAGAGAGAGAGAGAGAGAGAGGAGTGATGAGTGGGAGAGACAGGAGACGGGAATGAGGAACTGTGTGAGACTAGAATGGGAGGCTCAGAGAGACTGGGGCAGGCACACGGGGAGAATGGAATACATGGCATCTGATCCAAGGGCTTGGCCTTTGTCTCCTCCACCTTCTGCCCCAGGGCCAGGGCCACTCCGGCTGTGGGAGCGGCCCGGGCGCACCCCAAACTTGGGCGGCTAGGGGAAGAGCGGAAGAGCAGTCACCACCCTCCCCCCCCCCACGCCTACCACCCCTCGAGAGATTATACACCAGCCTCCACCCACATTTCAGAATAATGAGCCCAGGAGTCCCTCACAAGAAGCCAGGCGTGTTACAATGGCAGTATACTAGAAATTTCCTGCAAGTTCTGGGCTTGCACTCAGCTACCCCATGGATAAATTCAGTGAGCACCGTAGAGGGTAACACCTGAGCACAGACCCAGCAGGACCAAAAAAAAGCAACAATGAGTTGGACCGGAACAGTAGACACCCCGTCTCCCCGATACCATATCCCACAAATCTGTTCTATGTTCTCAGGACAAGAAGGGGGGGGTCACACAATGTCCAGTGAGTGACTCAAAGCTGTGTGAGGACAAATGAGCCTGTAGGACTCAGGACTCCTGTTTCAGGGCCATTCCAAATCCTCCCTGACGGGGGCTGGAGCAATAGCACAGCGGGGAGGGCGTTTGCCTTGCACGCGGCCGACCTGGGTTCGATTCCCAGCATCCCATATGGTCCCCCGAGCACCGCCAGGGGTAACTCCTGAGTGCAGAGCCAGGAGTAACCCCTGCGCATCTCTGGGTGTGACCCAAAAAGCAAAAAAAATAAATAAATAAAATTAAATAAAATTAAAAAAAAAAAACACAAATCCTCCCTGAGGTACTTAAAAGTAAACTTGACCCCCAATACCTTTGCCAGCCAAAGAGATCCCTTGCTCCCAGCCGCACGCTCAGGACTGTGCACACAGCACTGAGTGAACGTGAGACTATGTGACTGAGCAGGCAACACTCTCCAGAGCAGGAAGGACAAACAAGGGGAAACACACGTCCTGGGAACTGAGTCACTACAGTTGCCAGAGCGCAAACGGGGCCTGCACACCCTGGGTCCTGATGACCATCAGGGGTGAATCTGGATCACTGAGCGAAGAGGAAACCGTGAGCATCTTCACTGTGGCACAAAAACAAATATGGAGTAACAGGACAGTGGGTCCAGGAAGCCCGGGTAGGAGTGGCGGTCCCTGCTGTCCATATGGTCCAGCAAGAACTCTGAGGTGCAATGTTGGGAGTGCAGAGCCAGGAATAATTTCAAGAATCATAGGATATGCCCCCCCCCCCATCACCTCCCCCAAATAAAACAGAACAAAGAAAACCTCCCCCAAGAAGTTAGCCTTGGATCACTAGCACCCCATAAGATCTCTGAGTTTGGGTCTGGAGCGATAGCATAGCGGGTAGAGCATTTGCCTTGCACGTGGTCGACCCGGGTTTGATTCCCAGCATCCCATAGGGTCCCCTGAGCACTGCCAGGAGTGATTCCTGAGTGCATGAGCCAGGAGTAACCCCTGTGCATCGCCGGGTGTGACCCAAAAAGCAAATAAATAAATAAATAAAAGATCTCTGAGTTTGAACAGGATCTCTGAGCCCTCAGCACCATCACACTTAATAGAACAAAACAAATAGGGACAAGTGGCCTCAGACAGCAGCCAGTCACCCCTGCCAGGAACCCTATCCCAGGGCTTCCTCCTAAAACAGCCCATGAAAGATGGGCCTGGAAGCCTGTGAGCTCTTGTCACTGCATCGTGTCATCCTGTCATTCTCCTTCTACCTGGGGACAGTGAGTCAGACAGCGTGTCACCATCTTCCCCTGTCTCTAATTCCTGAGGATCTGAAGTAAGCTCTGTGCCAAGTACCTGGAGGAGAAGTCAGAGCTGTGAGCACCAGAGAGGAGCACAATCTTCCAACCCTGACCAGAAGTCCCAGCACTGGAGATAGAAACGTTCTGACCGGCGGAGATAATCTGGCACCAGATCACTGACCCACCTGGGGAAGACACTGCCAGAAGCTCCTCCTTCTCCTGCAGACACAACATGGGTTGGGATCTGGGCTGTCTGACCGGACTGGAGTTTTGGGCTCCGGCTACAGGAGAGGAAACTGAGCCCTGGGACTCCTCCCTTAACCCTACAGGAAGGTCCCTACAGGCAGGCACCAGGGGCTGACTCTGAGCCCAGATCCTGAAGCACATCACTGTCCTCTGCAGGGTCCTACTCCACCCCCATAAACACAGTTCTGAAAGTACGTCTGCCTTGGGGGCAGAAAAAGGAATTCAATATGGACAAACCTTCAGTCACTCTCTGGCAGGGTGGACAAGGTCACATGCGTGGGAGATCTCTACTGGAGACCAGGGTCACTTCTAGGTCCAGGTAAGCCCAAAAATAGGCCCCGGTCTGTCGACTTAGAACCCAGGTCTTCTAGGTCCTCATTTACTCTAATCCCCAACCAGCATATTTGAATGAGCCTCAGCTACCACTCACTCCTGTCTTGCAGGAATATATTTGAAAACTGCACAAAAACAGTGTGTTACATAGTAAAATTATCCTATGTTCAGGCCGTTCACTAAGGATGACTGTTTCTATCATTAAACTATAAATCTTCTATTCTGGGGGACAGAGTGATAGCACAGTATGTATTTATTACCAGCTTATACAAGACCAATAGCCGGGCAAACCTTATGGTCCCCTGACCCTGGCAGCAGTGATCCCTGAGTTTAGAGTCAGGAGTAAGGCCTGAGCACTGTAGGGTGTGGCAAGAAGTACAGCAACAACAAAATAAAAACCAAGCAGAGGAAAAAAAAATGAAGAAAGAAAAATAAAATTCCCATGCAAAGACAAATTCTCGAGTGAAACATTTAAAGAATCAAATAGTGGGTCATTAAAACCCGTTTAATGGTTTTTTTCCTACGCTGCAGAAGCCTATGGTTTCTCCTGAATCCTTATTTTTCTCTGTCTCTGGTCTCGTGTATTTCGTGTGTGTGTGTGTGTGTGTGTGTGTGTGTGTTGGGCCAGACGCGGCAGTGCTCAGGAGTGATTCTGAGCTCTGCACTCAGGGATCAGTCTTGGCAGGTTTGAGGAATTCTGAGATGCAGGGGCTCAGACTTTGGCTGGCAGCTGTAAGGCAAGCGCCCTAATCTCTGTACTATGGCCTTGACCATTGCAAAATAAAATCTCAGGGATCACTTCTAGGTGCTGGGGAAGATTTTATTTGGAAGTGATCCCTGAGTCCCCATCTCCATGAAACACTATCTTCCTTCAAAAATACAACCCCCCCAAAAAAAAAACAAAAAACAAAACTACCCACTGAACTCACACAATGGCCAGTCTCTGGGGGTTGCCTGGTCAGGGAGAGAGGACGTGAGGGGTGGTTCGCTTCTTGAAGTGTGGGAGTAGAAAGTCCTGACCTAAAAAAAAAAAAAAAACCAAAAAAACCGCTTGGTGGAAAACAGAGTTAAGCAGGGCACCGTGTTTGCCTTACTGACCCCGACCAATCTTCTGGATCCGATACAACCCCCAGAGCACAAAATATAATTTATATATATAAAATATATAAATATACAAAATATATAAAAACATATAAAATATAAAATAATAAATAAAATAAAATAAAAAAATAAATAATAAAATAAATATATTTTATATGTATATAAATAAATATAAAAATATATAAAAATAATTTATCAGCGAAGAGCCAGGAGTGAAATCTGACCATCTCCAGTAGACCAACTCCAGAAAAACAAAAACAAGCAACCAAAAATAAGGTAAAGGGGCTGGAGTGATAGGACAGCGGGTAGGGCGTTTGCCATGCACACCGCCGAGCCGGGTTCGATCCCCAGCATCCCATATGGTCCCCTGAGCACCGCCAGGAGTCATTCCTGAGTGCACGAGCCAGGAGGAACCCCTGTGCATTGCCGGTGTGACCCAAAAAGCAAAAAAAAAAAAAAAAAAAAAAATTGATTTTTGAGGGGCTGAAGCAATAGCACAGCGGGTAGGGCATTTGCCTTGCATGCGGCCGACCCGGGTTCGATTCCCAGTATCCCATAGGGTCCCCCGAGCACTGCCAGGAGTAATTCCTGAGCATCGCCGGGTGTGACCCAAAAAGGAAAACACAAACAAAAAACAAACAAAAATAGGGTAAGAAGTAAATATTCATTGGAAAACCCCAGGGAGTTGTGAGAGCCACGTCCTCCTGCGATCGTGGGCGCAGGGACCCCCCCCCCCACCAACATCACGCACTCGCACCCCGGACCCCTGCCGGCCCGAAACAGCCCCTCCCCCCCAGCCCTTCTGTCGCGGCTCAGGAACCACCTGGATATGGGGGACAAGAGAAAAACAAGCGCGAAAGCACCCCGGAAGCTGGCGCGGCCCCTTGGCTCACAGTGCGGGGACGGGGACACTGCGGGGTGGGTCTCGCCCTGCGACAGAATCGGCCGTCACGGTCCCCCTTCCACGCCAAGACGCCACATTGTCCTCGGACCACGTGACAAGCAGCGGCCGGCCGGACTGAACTGGCTGTGACACCAATACCGGAAGGCCCCGTTTGTGACGTCATCCCACTTCCGCCAGCAGCCTTAAAGGGCCAGTTTTGTTTTTTCTTTTTTAAAATTAGTGAAACACCATGAGGTACAGTCGTAGGCTTACAAGTTGTTGTGCTTGGGTTTCAGTTATACAATGATCGAGTACCCATCCTTCCACCAGTGCCCATTCTCCACCACCACTGATTCCAGTATCCCTCCCACCCCCCATTCCCCCCCATCCCACCCTGTTTCTGTGGCAGAACATTCCCTTTTGTTCTCTCTCTCTCCTTTTGGGTGCTGTAGTTTGCAAAAGAGGCATTGAGTGGCAATCATGTTCAGTCTATAGACTACTTTCAGCAGGCATCTCCCATCCTGGGCAGATCTTCCCAGCACCCTTTATTTGGTGCTCTTAAATGGCCATTTCTTTCTTTCTTTCTTTCTTTTTAAAATTTTTATTGGTGCGACATCATGAGGTACCCTTGTAGACTTACAAATTTTTGTGCTTGGGTTTCAATTATACAACGATCAAATACCCATCCCTCCACCAGTGCCCATCTCCCACCATCACGGATCCCAGTATCCCTCCCACCCCCCGTCCCCCCAATCCCACCCTGCCTCTGTGGCAGGGCATTCCTAAAGGGCCATTTCTTTCTCTGAAATGAGAACGAGCTGGGATCCGGGAATGGGACCACTCTCGCTGTTCAACAGTCACAGCTGAATGGACTTGTCAGCTGACATAGGGGGAACTCGGGCCCTCCCCACTATCTGTAAGACATTTGACTCAAGGAGACCCATCTTTTCAAAACACTGGCCCATGTTTTCTTTTCTTTTTTTTTTTCTTTTTGCTTTTTGGGCCACCACCCAGCGATGCACAAGGGTTCCTCCTGGTTCAGCACTGAGGAATTACTCCTGGTAGTGCCAGGGGGACCCTATGGGATGCTGGGAATCGAACCCGGGACGGCCGCGTGCAAGGCAAACGCCCTACCCATTGTGCTACTTCTCCAGCCCCTGGCCCATGTTTTTCTAGTCACAGTCACGATCAAGACCGTCCTGTTGTTCGTCGATTGCCTTGCGCAGGCCCCAGTAACGTCTCCTTTGTCCTAGCCCTGAGATTTTTTAAAAAAGTGCCATATTCAAAGCTCTATCAGGGTTAGGAGAATGAGACCCATCATTGTTACTGGTATTTGGCATATTGGGTACGCCACGGGAAGTTTGCCAGACTCTGCCATGTGGGCAGGTTACATTCGGTAGACTGCCAGTTTGTCCAAAGTAGGAATGAGGTAATAAGATATTGTGTGGCCGCGAATGCGGCTGGGCGCTTTCAGAGCTGGGTTTTATAGTCTCTGAGTCTTGGCCGTTGATGGGATTACACGGCGCCAGGGGGCCAGTTGGTGGGTGTGACCCCCTCCCCCCCCCCACACCGGTCACAGTAAAGTCCATTAACTGTCTTCCATCCACCCTATTAAAGAACATTTCCAGGGTTATTTTTCTAAAATGATAGCTTTTGGAAATATATATCTTTAATCCTTATGAAAGTCTAAAATGAAATCCTGAATGCTATGTATGCAGAGAGATGAGAGGGTAAGGTGCTTGTAAATATGGGCGACCTGTATTCTAATCCCAGCATCCATAATGTGCGAGAATTCTCCCAGGTATGGAGCCCTGAGCTGAGAGTCAGCTGCAGGGCCTGACCACAGCTCCCTCAAGCATAAGACAGGAAGGCAGGAAGAATGAAGGTTTGGCCCATTTTTGATTTACATTGATTCTCAGCAACACTGTGGTTGATGTCTGCCACGAACCCCTTCAAAACAGGGTCTCTGGGCCAAGCCAGAATCAGAGCAAAGACTGAGACGATGGTGAACCCTGGCAGTCCCGGTGAGGGGCGGTTATGCATATATGTATGTTTTTAATTTACTAAAGACAAAAAGTGCCAACTGTTGTTAAAATTCTAGGGTTGAAATTGACGAGACAACAAACTTGCAATATCAAACGGATGTAGAAAATAAATTTATGTGAAAATTGTTATATCTGATTGCAGAATTTTTTTTTGCTTTTTTGCTTTTTGGGTCACACCTGGCGATGCTCAGGGGGTTATTCCTGGCTCATGCACTCAGGAATTACTCCTGGCAGTGCTCGGGGGACCATATGGGATGCTGGGAATCAAACCAGGGTCGGCTGCATGCAAGGCAAATGCCCTACCTGCTGTGCTATCGCTCCAGCCCCGTGATTGCAGAGTTTTTAAGACTAAGAACTTTTGAATCCTTTTGTTGCTTCAAGAAGTTTTACCTGTTTATTATTACTTTTTATTTAATCACCTTAATCCTGACTTCCATCGCCAAGCCACATTATTTACAAGTTAACATACACGTGAAGTCCAAATGCCGGGACACTGCTATAGCCATAGCCCAGGTGATAGTCAGCAAGTACCTTTCCCTTATAGTACTGATGTCACTGGAAGCTTGTCACCCGCTACCTGGATTCCTTCCTTCTTGGCTGCACTCCTGCAGCTCCCTAACACTCCTGGTCCAAACAAAACTTGTCTTCCCTAGGGGCACTCCTCTGAATGTGGGGATAGTTCTTAGGGATCGAGTCATCCAGTCTGCATTTTATGATGTCTAAAAGGCTGGAGAGGTATGGGGCTGGAGCGATAGCATAGCGGGTAGGGCATTTGCCTTGCACGCAGCCAACATGGCCAACACAGGTTCGATTCCCAGCCTCCCATATGGTCCCCCGAGCACCGCCAGGAGTGATTCCTGAGTGCATGAGCCAGGAGGAAGCCCTGAGCATCGCTGGGTGTGACCCAAAAAGCAAAACACATAGTAAATAAATAAATAAATAAAAGGCTGGAGAGGTATGAAAAGGCCCTCCAACATTTACAAACATAAGATTTCTCTCCAGTATATGCTTTCATGAGGCTAGGAAGGGATATGGGTACAGTGAAAGCCTTGCACATTCCTTACATATATAAGATTTCTCTCCTCTATGACTTTTCAAATGCACAGAAAGGCTAGAGGGCAGAGTGAAGCGTTTCCCAGAAGTCAGATAATTATGTGGTTTCTTTCTTGTATGATTTTTTTCCTTTTGCTTAGTTGAGATGACAAGTTTGAGTGAAGGCCTTCCAGAGTCCTTACATATGTAGAGTCTGTCTCCAAGATCAATTTTCCTGTGATTCTAAGGCTTGAGGGCATAATGTAGTCCTTCCCACAGTGCTGACATAAAAGCTTTCTTTCCAGTATGAATATTACCATGTGTCATAAGGAGTAAGTGAACATGTTCCCACAGTCCTTACAAATATAGGGGGCTGGAGAGATAGCACAGCGGGAAAGGCGTTTGCTTGCACACGGCTGACCTGGGTTCGATTCCCAGCATCCCATATGGTCCCCTGAGCACCGCCAGGAGTGATTTCTGAGTGCAGAGCCAGGAGTAACCCCTGTGCGTCGCCGGGTGTGACCCAAAAAGCAAAACAAAAACAAAAACAGAAACAAAACAAAAAACTCAAATATATACAAATATAAGGGTCACCCCCAATTTGTCTCAAAGTAAGTAAAAGTGACTTGACCCTGAGGTCCTTTGCACCAACTCACCGGGACAGGCGCATGCCCAGAACTGCACACACAGCAGCGTGTGTACATGAGACTGTGACTGAGCAGGTGAGACTCTCAGAGCGGGAAGGATAATATAGGCCACATGCAAGTCCTGTGGCCTGAGACATTTGTAACCATCAGGGTACATACAAAGCCAGCACACCTGGGTTCCCCAGATGCCTGTCAGGGATGAATCCGAAGCAGAAAGCACGCACATGGGAGCTCTCTCCTGGAGACCAGAGTAACTTCTGGGTTCAGGTAAGAATAAGGAACAGCCACAGGCCTGTCCACCTAGTCCCCAGC